GATCAGAGAGAAGGCAGTGAATAGGAAGCAGGCGGGCTTCAGCATCACCTGCCTGTGTCAAAATGGAGCCTTTTTGTTAAAAAAAAAGAGAGAGAGAGAGAGAGAGAGAGAATCGGCTTCATTCCTTATCACTAATACACAGCACATGTTTCCAGCTAGGTAAGAGGAGAGGAGAGGGCTGGAGGACAAAAGGAGGTAGAAGAAGATGAGGAGGGAAACAGCAGGAAGTGGGGACATGGAAGGTCTGCCTGTCCCAATTTCCGCCTCTTTCCGAAGGCTTGTAAATACCACTCCGCCTTTGAAGGATTTACATATTTAGGGGACGCTTAAATGCGTCCAGATTGTGGAGTCTCTCTCAGGGGGAGTGGGAAGGGAGAGGAAAGGGATTGGATTATTATTATTATTATTATTTTGAAGGGGTGGAGGGTGGGAAGGGAATTTGCAAAGCTGGCTAACCAGAAAATGTCAAATTTAACCTCCTAGGGTGCAGAGCAGGGAAAAGTGATCATAACCCTGGGAAGACCCACCCACCCAGGACGGCCTGTTGTCCTGCACAGAAATCAGGAGCCCAGCCATCCTCCACAAGGGTGGGGCCACTGCAGTGGTGGCCACAGGTATCCAAGAGTGACGGGGAACGTCATTGTCGTCATCATCATCATCTTGCCACTGACTGCTGTAGGTGGAATCCTACAGTATATATGGAGTCTTGCTGCAAGAACAGAGTCTTTGTTGTTGAATGCAGACAAAATGGAGCCCTGCCTCTTTCCTATCACCCCAACCTCCTTGCCCTCTCCTTCAGCACTGGAATCTTCCTGCCAAACCACTTCAGCTCCTAACAGTTTCTTGCAACCTTATTATTATTATTATTAACTGGGGAAAAACAAGCAAGCAGCTCCTTCATCCCCTTCCCATCAGCATCTGTGACTGTGAACATTCAGTGACTTGAACCATCCCATTTGGGGCAGTTTGAATGCTCGTGAACATTCTGTAACACCACATGGCGCAATCTGCCCAGTTGCTCCCAGTCTAGAAACCTTAAGATCCATACCCCCAGACTTGGAACCTAGGCTGGACACTGTTTTTCACAGTAACTGTAAGATTTCTCTCCCCCCGCCCCCAATGAAACCATTGCCCATTCTATGACAAGGATTGTTAATTTTTCCTTGTTGGTGTTTACTTCCAGCGAGACTGCTGCAATTTTGGAATGTCTTTACGACTTACTGCAAATGACACTTATAAGAACAGAATGCCTGTAAACAGACAAATATGCTCTTCAGAGAAGGTGAGTGTTTGTGTTTCTACTGAGAACAGAACTAGGCTTTTCAGTAGAGCCGTTGATGGGACTGAAGCTGCAAGCTATGGAGGGGAAGCAAAGAGCTGGTGGAAAAGTGAGGATCTGAACCCTTTCTAAGCTTTATCCAAACACCTTGTCACACCCAAGGTGGTCCCAATACTAGGTGCTGAGCAGAAGTCATCAAGAGAGGAGAAGGTTAGGGACGGGAGGCAGGATGGCTTCACAGGTCGTTGCGGGCTGGCAGACACTCCTGTTTCACTCTTTGTCAGAATTACAAATGAAGGTGACGATGGCATGGCCCGGGTGCTAGCAATGGGACAGAGATTGGACCTGGAAGAATCCAGCAGCCCTTCTTCCCCCACTGTTTTAAAATATGCTGACACTTGTAAGATGGAAATCTCCGCCTGGACGCTTTGCTAATGTCCCCCTTTTTGCATAGAGCATTATATATGCATAATGTAGATGGCAAAGACGCCTTGCCAGCAGTTGGAAGAAAAGACATATTTCACCATGTCACCAGTGAGTGATAATTCAACTAGTGTTAACAGTGGAGACCCTGATCAGGTCCTCTCAGTTGCAAGAGAGAGGGAGAGGGAGGGAGGAAGAGGGGGAGAGGAGACAGTGTATAAATTTGCCCTGAGAATTTGTAGCCTTGGTGTCATAGAATTGTAGAGCTCAGTTTTTTTGTTACACTCAGATCTAGGGTGCCGACACCCAAAGGTCTGAAAGGTTTACTTGTGTCCTCAGCGTAAGCCAACGGCTGCTGGATTGGTCCAAAGCTCCAGAACCTCTTTCCTGTGGTGGCTCCCTGGATCAGAGCATGTTTTGGTCCAGCCTCACAGTGGAGAGGGCTGACACTGATTTTGCGGACAACATGCAACCGCTCCGTGTTTTGCTCAGTGCTTTAAGGCTGTGCAAGACAGGCGGAGGTATTTTGGGAGAGAGTCACATCCAGAACTTTGGAGAGTGCCTGGGAACGGGAGAGAGACTAAAACCACAGAGTAGAGCCCTTTTGCTCCACTCTGTAGGAGAACAATGACGACTGACCGGCGGCAGGATAGGTTTGCAGGTGGAGGCCGCTGCTCTTTTCTTGAGAGTTGCCCCCGTGGGGTGGGTGGGAGTCATTTGCTTTTCCATTCTTTTTGTATTACAAGGAAAAGTGCATTTACAGCCAGGAGCAATGTGGGGCTCTCCACAGATGGCTGGGTGAGTGGCCCCACTTCCTGGAAATGACGCTTGTGTGCCATCACCTCCATCAGTGTCTTCAAGGAAATGGGCCCACCTGGCTGGCTGGCTGGCTGGGGGCAGACGTCTAGTGTGAGATTGTTTTGGAAGCGAGGGGACTCTTCTGAGGATAGTTCTCAACTAGCTCTCTCTGGGGCTCTCACGTCAGAGCATGGAGAGAGCAAAGCTGCTCCAGGATCCAGCATTCACACACACACACACACTCACTCTGCTGGAACCTGTAAGTTCTTGCACAACATCCCAGTGTCACTTAGATAGAACTTGGACAGGAGGTAGCTTGTAGCAGCATTCCAGTGTCGCTTAGATAGAACTTGGACAGAAGGTAGCTTGTAGCACGTTTTTTTAAAAAAACAGAAATAAATAAAAACATGACAATTTTTTTAAAAAAAACAAATAAATAAAAACATGAGAAGGTATGATATTAAAGCATGATTAAAAGAAAAGTTCTCATTGAAAGCTCAAATGCTTGGCCTCCCCCAGAATCTGGAGGATTCTGAGGTTTGTAGTCTGTGAAGTAAAATTTCCAGACTTTGCTATCAAGAGAGATTGTGTGTTCTTTCTCATAACTCAAGAGAAGTGCTCTTCCTAGCACCGAATGCAGCCGAATTCACTCCCAACACTAGCTTCAGGTTTGGGGGAGATGGAAGGGCAGCGTCAGTGGCAGCAGCAATCTTCTAAAGGATGGCGAGGTGGGATAATGAGCCAAAGATAAATCCCCGTTAATGCTAATGGCAAGTTATCTGTGGTTAATTACCCCCCAAATGCCTTATCTTCAATCATGTAAAGTGACTTTGTCAAGACCACAAGGAAAAACTCCACTTATCCTCTGATGGCGGACATTCGCTTAAACAGCCATCCGCCAAGAATTCAACACCAAGGAGCTGGACTGCAAGGCGTTCTGTCTCGTCCCGACCGCTCAGCTCTGGAAGGTCTTTGCCTGGCCAACATTTGGGGACATTTGGGGACCAAAGGCTGAGAGCTGGGCAGGTCCCCGTGAAGTTGTAAGGGACAACTCTCGCCATGTCATAGGATGAGGTGCTTGTGATGCCAGTGGCGGGGCCACGTCGGAAAGATCCAAGTGGGAAGCAAGGGTAACACACATCCAAATGAAAGAGGTCCAGGCCCAAAACACAGCCATGTTCATCTCTTGGTCATCAATCAGTGGAGCGATGTCCCTTGTTTTCTGTTCAAGCCACCGTGTTCTCCCATCCACACCCAAATTTGATTGGAGACATCAGGGGGACATCGGAGACCTTTGTTCATGAGCCATTTGGAAAAGTGGCTTTTGTAGAGAATGGCTTTCCGGAGTTGTAGGAGGCGAGGAGAAATTTCCCCAAGTCATACCTTGGAGCAATGGAATTGGGCAAGGATGTTTTTGTTGGCTCTGTGTGTATGTGTGTGTGTGTGAGTGAGAGAGAAAAAGAGACAGAGACAGAGAGAGAGAGAGAAAGCACCAGCCTGTCCTAGAAGATCCTTAGATGGTCTCACAATATTACGGTTGTTGTAGGTGAGATTCTGAGCCCTGGCTTTTTGCAGGGGATCTGGTATCTTGTACTCTTTTTCAGCCATTCCAAGGTGACAGGAAGGTCACCTCTCACCTGGCTGGTGGCCGAGCAAGATGGGACATGGTCTTCTTCCAACTGGACTTTGTCTTGCGAGTGGGAGAGTGGGGTGGGATAAAAGGAACAAGTGACAAAGGGCTCAGCTCCACCTGCCTGCATTTCCTCACCACCACCTCGCCCTCTAATTCTCACTTCCTCTCTCTCTTAGTTCATTCCAGTCCAGTTCACATTCTCCTTCCTCCCCACCCCAAGAAGCCCCCGAGCAAGTAACAGTCTTGAAAACACAGGCTGTTATTGCCGCATAAAACGCACATTTATAGTGCCGACATAAAAAATAATGCTTATAAAACGGATTTGAAAGATATATTTTATCTTTGGCGCATCTTTAAAATATATGGCAAAGAGGAAGCTTTACTTATTCGTGGCTGTAAAAGGAGAGGAGAGAGGGAGAGGATGATGTTTGGTCTCCTGCTTGGGATGGTGGTGGTGGTGGTCGCTGGTGGTCCCTGACAAGCCACCAGTGGAACACATGATGCTGTATATGAGATGGAGCTGAGCGGGTCCGATCCTTCCTGGGCTTTTAGCAAAGGGATGAGACTGGAAGCAAGCAACATGTGGCCCAGTGGGTGTCTCTAGACTGCAACTCTGCAAGCTGTAGCCAGAATAATCACAGTGGTCCACCCCAGCTTAGACCACGTGTGGCCCTCCAGATGGCAACTCCCTTTAGCCAAAAGTCAGAAGGTGAGGAAGGATGGGACTTGGGGTCACACATGTCTGGAGGACCCACATGTTTCCTCTTTCCTGCATCAGACAAATTCAGAGCAGTAAAATGGGATTGGGTCCCAGGGGTCACCCCATCCAAGCTGTCCTTCAACTTTCTGCCCTGTTTATGTAGGAAATCGAGAGCTTGAGTGCCCCAGATGAATGGCCCTTCCATCTCTGCTGGAAAGCCTCCAGGGAAGAAGAGTCCAGCATTACCCACAGAGGACGACAGACCCACAGGTGAGATTTTGGTGGGAGCGTTTTGTGGAATGTCAAATTCTGACTGTAAGGTATTGCTTGAGTACCAGACAACATTGATGGGTTCGCACTCAGGTTCTTCACAATGCAGAAAGTTTTTGTTGGCTTTTGGGGGCAGGGGGCGGGGAACACACAAATGTTGGGATGGATTGGGACCATCTTGGGCTGTTCCTGTTTCCCGACTCTCTCTAAAACGGCATCCTGGAGCCCTCCAGAGGTGCTGGAACAGAGCTCTGACCATCCCAAGCCGTAGCTGCAAAGTTGGCGACCGTTCTGGGAAGGCGTCTCTTCCCTTCCCTGTTGAGGAGAGCCAATGGGCAGTGGAGTGGATGGAGCCCCTGTAGCTCCCGTGACTGATTTAACAGACCAGCACGGACCTTGCTGGGGGCTGCCCATCCATAACTCCTTTCATTCTTAGATTGAACTCCAGAATTGGCTTGGATGCTAGTTCCAGAAAGTCCAGGGTTTTTTTTTCTAAAGGAGAGAGACCAGATTCTGAAAGAAACCAAGTTTCAGAACCAGATGAGATTTCCTCAAGAACACACACACACAGAGAGATCTGAGAGGAAAATAATAATAATAATAACAATGGGAGTAAAAACGTAGAAAGGAATTTGTGGAGTGTGGCATTCTGGGGTGACGAAATATTGGTATGTAATTGGGTTTCTGGTTGGAGAACACTGGATATGATGCTCGGGTCTGAGCTGCTCTCTGTCTACACTGTTTACCCCATATTGGGGACTTTTGGGGTTTCTGCTTAATCCCCTGCAAAGGACACGAAGGAAGAAAGGAAGGAAGGAGACTGCAGAGAGCAAAGGAGCCGGGCAGTCTGCTCCCTCTCTTTCTCTCTTTCCCCATTAATCTTGATTACAGGGCCCTGGTGCTGAAGTTAATTTTCTTGTAGATGCCTATCAGTCATGTTAGCTGGGAATCTCTCTCCAGCTAATGAGGAATTCATATTCCTTGCTGTTTTATTATGCCACTAATTACTGCCCAGGATTCTGGTGAATGGGCCTAGAAAGAAAATACCAGAGGGTGAAGGAGGTCACTTTTCCACCTTCAAAAAAACTGGGGATGTGTGGTGACATCTCATGGGGCTTCAGAGCTGCTCTGGATTACCCTGGTGATGTTATGCATGACCCAGAGTTTGGAAAAGTTCCTTTTTAATACAGTGGTTCCTTTCCGAGTCTATCATTCCATGGTTGTGTGTGTGGTTGGTTGGTCTTCCACCACGTTGAGAGCCCTGCTTTTTGCTCCTTGGCTTTGCTCTTCTTTTTCCTCTTCCTTCAGGGCCCTTGCAGTGACTGTGTTCATGGAAATAAGGTCTCCCACCTGACTTTTCCCCATAGGGCGGATCTGTGATGGCATTGCAAATATCTGGAGGCTGGCCTGAGAGAGCTTGTGGTTTTCTTTTGGGACAAGAGAGAGTTGGGCCTTTGCGCTTCGCTGCGTGTCGACCGTGGTGGCACCAAAGTTAAATAAAAACATGGTTTGAGGGCAGAGGAGGGAGGACGGTGGGGTGTTCAACCAAAAAACAAAACAAAACGAAACAACAACAAAACAAGTGGATACATTGGAGCTGGCCAGGATTTCTAGAAGTTACCATCCAAGAACATCTGAGGACCCACAGTTTGGAACCACTGAGATAAAAGATAAAGCAAGGCACCGATGTGCATAATCCAATGGGTTAGAACCAAGCTGTGGTCACCAAGCCCCAGAACCCTAACCCCTCCCAATTTCGGACTCTGTTCTTCACCCGCAAACACTTCCGTTGACTGCTCCCTCTCAAGCTCCTTCCCCCTCTTTGTCACCCTCCTTCCCCCTTTTCCTTTCTTCCGCAACGTCCTCGGTGGCAGGACCTGAAGGGACCGAGCCGTCTACACAGCCACACTCTCGGCTTGTCCTCTCCACCCAGGTGGACTCTGTGCCCTGCCTGGTCAGGGAGAGCCCTGGGTGGGTTGATCTGCACGCCCAAGGTCAGGGGCTGGAGGCACCATGCCTGGGCTTCCCTCTGTAGAGCCTCTCGGCCTTAATCTGGTTCCATTTATTTATTTACTGAAAATATTTCTATCCCACCTTTCTCCATTAAAGCGACCCCGGGTTCAAGCCTTTGCTTGAGAAGAGAAAGCCTTCTCTCTCTCTGTGTGTGTGTGTGTGTGTGTCTCTCTCTCTCTCTTTGTGTGTGTGTGTGTGTGTGTGTGTGTGTAAAAGAACCAGAAATCCATGGCAGAATGAATGTTTTGCCGACATACCCTGGTGTACCTAGGTTGATGCGGTTCCTCAGCTCCTTGGGCGCCCGTCCGAGAAGGCTGCCAAGTCTGTTTTAAGTCAAACAAAGAAAAACTAACAAAATAATGGGAAAGTGGGAAATATCGGCAAGGCTTACTTTGTTATTAAATCTGAAAGAACTTTAGGAACCAAAAAATGTATTATGCATAACTCCCAGTACATAACGCAGCAGCATCGTTTGATATATTTATAAAATTTAAAAGTATAAACATCTCAGTTTTAGTCTAACAATAATTACATCTATATCCAATACGAGAGACAGAGAAGCTAGCAGCTGCACCTGAAGGTACTTAAGTACGTATCTCTCTCTCTTTTTTTCCCTTTCAGTTGGGAAAAATAGTTTCTCCCCCCCAAACCCCCAAAATAAAAGCCATCAGCACTGGAATAAACAGACAGCAGGTTTTTATTGTCTGAGTTTAGGAATGATATGGAGGTTTCAGCATATTCAATCAGAAAAACTCCACATTTTTAGCAAGGGGGGGTCCAAGAAAATTAATTACCGCTTAATATAATTATGGAATAGCTATGAATCTGGGGATTCAGCTGAACTTCAAACACTGAACTCTCAAAGAGCATGCAGTAATCGTAAAAAGTAAGGCTGTCATCCGATGCACATTCAGGCTGCGAAGCAGCTTCTTGGTTGTGTGTGTGTGTTGTTGTTGTTTCTAGTTGTTGAATATAAGGAGCCGCTTTCCTCAGCCTGGTGCTTTCCTGCCTTTCTGGACTACAGACCCCATAGTATCAGTCCCAAAATTGGCAATCTGGAATTTCATGCCAGTCCAGAACATGCTCCCCTGAAGCCATGTCGATGTGCTCCCTGATAGGCATGGGGCTTGGGTTCTGGATTCAGGCCAGGGAAGGCCAGCAACTGTGCCTGAAACGGGTGTCCTTGAAGTGCCAACGGAGACCATCCCTTTTGTAATGCTCCCTTCTGGGCTGTCTTGCATTGGCTGGGGGGGGTTGGACTAGATGACCCTGAAGGTCCCTTCCAGCTCTTCCAGTCCTGAGGTTCTCCTCTAGGGTCCCAAGAGGACTTCCTCTCCTTGCTCTCCACTCATCTTCTTTGTCCTGGACAGGAGGCTCCTTTCCACCAGTCATCCGGCTCACCCCAAACTAAGAAGACCAAGCAGAACCATTCGTGCAGACACCTCCTGCTCCTCCCCATGGGCAAGCCTTCCTTCCCTGACCCACCCCATCCAGCCTTCTTTCATGCCCTCATTCAGAAATCAAAAGTCCTGTCTAATCCTCTCTGTCAGGCTCCCACCTTGTCAAAGTCTATCCAGAAGCCGTCACAACCATTTCCCCAGTGGAAGGGTGGGGGTGGGGTGGGGGGGAGAAACACAGACCCAAGGCAAATCCACTTTCAAACGATTTGGGAGAAGAAAGCAAACCAAATGCCTTCCCGTCTGCTCAGGAGTTGGCTTTGCAACTTTGGAGTTGAAAAGGCAAATAAATAAACAAACAAACATTAGACTTCGCCCCTTTTCTTTCTTCTTTTCTTTCTTTCTTTCTTGCATGCTTCCTTGCTTGTTTTCTTGCTTATTTCCATCATTCCTCTCTTTCTTTCTTCCATCATTCCTCTCTTTTTGTTTGTTTGTTTCTCTCTCTCTCTCTCTTTCTTTCTTTCCTTCCTTCATGCCTGCCTCCCTCCCTCCCTTTTTTGCAAAGAGAGCGATTCTGCTGTTTTCACTCCCAGGTGAAATATGTTCACATATTCTGGAGTAAGCCCTATTGAAATCTATAGCACTTACTTCTCCGTAAGCATGTAGCTCTCTTTCCCATGAGGTGTCTTCCAGATGGATTAGACTACAACACCCATCACCCCCCCTACACCAATAGGTCTGTTCGAGAGGGGCTAGGCGCTCCACCCCTTGCTGCCAGTCATCTGAGGTCACCTCACTTCTGGGTGTAGGCCTCCCATCAACATCTGACAATGATTTCCCTTGCAGTTTCCACCATCACTCAGCTAGCAACATAAATCTTGACCTGATTTGTCCTTTCTTGCTAAACAAGACAATGCCAGGAAAATTTTTCCTCCTTGCGATTTTATTCTATCTTTTGCTGACCTCAAGGAGGTTTTATACACTTCCAAGACTCCTTGTTAGGCATTTCTCTAAAATGTTCAGAAGAGAGAGAGAGAGTGTGTGTGTGTGTGTGAGAGAGAGCTTTTATTTCATCTTGTTGCTCGTTGACACTGGGAAAATAGTAGCTTCTGATGGGTTGTTTGTGTCTTTTACTATCAATCAAAGTGCTGTTTCTCCAAGCCAAACAGGCCGCTCTCATATAAAACTTCACCAGATCTCTTTTTAGGGACCCCGCTCGAGCAGAGAATGCAGATGGATCCATGGCTATTATCAGCCCCCGAAATACAATCTGTACATAATCCAGAATAAGGGGTGACATATTTGTTGGGAAGGGTTCACAATGATGCTAATTTCCCTTTTACCGCAAAGGCCTTGTGGGGTTTAAAGAGGCCATTTTGAGAATTGGGACACCAGGCTAGAATGTGACTCAGAAAGCCACAATGGCTCTTTAGATGCTGAGGAACAACTATACCCATCTAGGGATGGAAAAGCAGTTCCTATTAAGCAAGACTTTTAATTAATTTATCTAATTTGTGATCTGCAATGCTGGGAGGGAAAAGCATACACAATTTTTTTTAGCATCTGCTCACTAGGATCAAACCACCAGTG